TGGGAGTGGAACAAGGGAGGGAGGGTGAAAAGAGAGAGAGATCAGATAAATGTCTAAAAAATAACACCCATCACCACGATAACAAGCACAAAAGAAGCCTTTTTTCTTCTCGAGAGAGACAAAGGGAATTTTAAGTAGGATTAAGTAGTAGTAGCTTTCAGAACTCAGCAGCTCTCAGAAGCAATAATAACTACATAAATAGCTAAGTGGATGGTAGGAATTGTTTCACTTTGGAATTTGGCCAGCATATCAAAGTTAACAGTAATATCACATCTTTTTGAAAGCTTTCCTGAGATTCTAGGGGGAAAAAATCATCTCAGAAAACTGTTAGCACCAAGTTAATTTTAGGAAGAGGGTGCTCCTCACTGCTTGAAGACATCTACCTCAGGAAAATGGGTAAGACAGAAGCCCTCCCCTACTGGGAAACACTCTCTTATCCATGTAAATACATTGCCAGTATCATTCCTAATGGAAGCAAACAATTACGTTCACAGATTATCATTGCCCAGTGTAAAATTTTACTCAGAACATAACCCACAAATGATACCCTAAACGCAGTAAAAAGGCCCCTGTCGATATCCTTTCTCACACAGTTCCCTAACTTTTTAACTCACTGTGGATGGTTAAACATGAACTCTGTAAGGGCCCAATTTTGAAACATGCACATCTGTATTCAGTCATTTCTGCATTGGATGGAATTAGACAAATTGGAAATATAAATAATTTTCAGGGGCACCCAGGTGGTTCAGTGGGTTGAGCCTCTGCCTTCGGCTCAGGTCATGATCTCAGGGTCCTGGGATGGAGTCCCGCATCGGGCTCTCTGCTCAGCGGGGAGCCTGCTTCCTCCTCTCGCTCGCTGCCTACTTGTGATCTCTCTCTCTCTGTGTCAAATAAATAAATAAAATCTTAAAAAAAATAATTTTCAAACCCTGGACACCCCTACTCATGAATATCCATAGGTTTTCCTTCTTAAGTACATTTGACCACTCATGTGCTAGATCACGTTTCCTCCCCAAAAACAGAGATGAAGACTGAGTGTTGATGGTAATGTGGGGCACACACATTTTCTCTCAACATCTGGAAATATTCACGTGTTACTGTTGAAAAAAAATAATTTGGGGGGTGCCTGGGTGGCTCAGTCAGTTGAATGTCCGACTCTTGATTTTGGCTCAGGTCATGATCTCAGGGTTGTGAGATGGAGCCCCCAAAGCAGGCTCTGCACTCATTGGGGAATCTGCTTCTTTCTCCCTCTCCCTCCTCCCTCTACTCCTCCCCTGCTTGCATGCAGGCTCCCTCCCTCTCTCTTTCTCAAAGAAATAAATATATCTAAAAACAAATTAAGCTAGAACATTGCCTCATTTATTTCTTTTCCACCCAGAAACAAGTTATTTCAGTATCACTCACAATGGAATTTGCCTGAAAATCTGTTTACTAATCCCATTCCCCAAGGGTGCACTTGCCCTAGCACTTAGAGTAAACACCATTTTCATCGCACTAGAAATAGTTCTAACTGGAGAGACTTTTCCAGTTGCTAGCAACACCCAAATCAATTGAAGGACTCTGCAGCAGACATGCCACCAACTCTGGACTGTACCATAACCCAGGTCAGAACTACATCCACGTATATCAACTTTTTTTTTTTTTTTGAAAACAGGAGTTTAGAGAAAATAAGAGTTTAGATTCCTAAAACAGTCTATTAAAAATTATGATTATGTAATAACTAATCTCCTACCAACTTTGTATATACCTAGAGAGAGAGAATGGTAGACTCTCATTCTTATGGTCTAAACAAGAGTGGGCTGTGAACATGGGTACACAATCAAATAGTAACACTCAGAAGTCAGAACTAAGCCCAATATAAAATATATCTGAGTGAAAGCATAGAAGTTACTCCATAAACTCCCCTTTCACATCTTTCTATAAACCAGACCCTCTTTATTTCCCATTATTCCTTAACATGCACCCTCTTTCCAATATACTCACCCCTTCCCTGTGCTTCCCATGTCTCCATGCCATGTCCTACTCTGTGCCTTTGCCCTGCTGGCCCACCTTTTCCCTCATCTTGGATGCTCTTTCTCAAATCTTTCTTGTCAAACACTTACCTCTTCCATGAAGTTTTGAATTTCATAACTTGAACTTACAGTTATATATTTCTGAAGAAATATCTACATCCAAATCTAGCTTTTAATTATAGGATTTTCCCCCCTCTACTTCTGTACAGTTCTGTGTGTATCTTTTTTCCCCAACTGAATCACATTATTTCAAGGTAACACCTCCCTTTTAATGCCTCTCCCTAAAGTATCTGTCAAGATCCTAACCCACAGCTAATTTCTCTTTCTCTATCTACTCCTTCTGCATATTATATTTCTCTGAAAACATGCTCAAGTTTGCCCTATTATGAAGAAAATTTCTGTAACCCTGCTTCTTTCTCAAGTTTTTCGCCAGACCTACTTTTTTTTTCTTTGCCAGACTTTTTAAAAAGCATTCTTTCCCCCATTTCCTCTTTTCTGGCTCTGTCTCAGCCCCTCACAATCTGAGTGTATCACACTTCTCATCCATCAGCCAGGCCTCTCAGCAGCACTGACATGCATGCCATCTTTTCTTCGGCTCACTGAGATGGCACCCCTCACCATGCTCACTGGCTTTTCCTGGCTCCTCCCCTAGAATCTTCCCTCAGCTCTGCTCCAACTCCTTTGGCAATTGCATCTCTGCCCTGGTCCTTAACTTCCAGGACTCCATCTGACAAGCAAGAGCTTGTATTTTTAGTGCCGGATTCTCTGTGGGGTCCCAGACCTTATGCTGCCACCTGCTGGGCAATTTCATGGGGCCACCTCAAAACCAAATTCAAGTCTCTCCCTTCCTTACCTACCATTCATTCTGTCTTCTCTGCTAACTAATGACATCCCTTTTCCTAGGCCTAGCTGGCAGAGAGTTCACGTTCAGAGCCTCCATCTCTTAACCCCACACCAGTATTCGCCACCACGTACTATCAATGTGACTTCCCAGGACTTCTTTCCTCTGTGTTCTGTCCAGACCTACGCATCCTTCTTCAGGCTGTGACTGTGCATCGCCAGGACTAGGAGAAGGGCCCTGACTGACCTTTCTCCTTTTTCTTTCCTGATCTCCAGCCCTCCTCACACCTCTGCCAGAGGAATCTGCTTGAAAACAGGTACCTGAGCAATGCCCTAGATCCAAAGCCTTGAGTAATCCTATCCTACAGGTAGGATAAAGCCTAAACCCCAGCCCTGCCCCAGCACTCGAGTTTCTAGAAATAACTTGAAGACCTTGCATGATGTGACCCCAGCCTATCTCTTTAGCCTCATTGGCCATCACTCTCCCTCTCACTTACTACCCTCCCTCCCTCACTCCAGCCACCTTGTTCCTCCCCACCCCCCATCACCAGTGGCTTCAACAAGGGAGACTTGCCCTAGATCCTGGGATAGTTTGCCATCATATCTTCATGTGGCTGACAACATCTTACCATTCAGGTTTCATGTCAAACGTCACCTGCTTGGAGAAGCATTCTGTGACTGCACAGCCTACTGGTCACCCTCCTGGCTAATACCACCTGCTCAGCTTTTCACATTCATTCCCTTGTATTTCCTGGAAGCACACCTTAGCATCTGGAAGTCTCTGTTAATGTATCTACTTCCTTATTTAGTGTCTGTCTCCTCACACTGGAGTGTAAGGCCCGTGAGCACAGACTTCATCTCTGTTCCAGTTCCTGGAAGGGTGCCTGGCACACAGGAAGCCTGAAGTCAGACCCCTCCACAGCATGTTACCCATTTTTCACACCCCCTCCTTACTCTGTGTATACGTCTGCTCTAGCATTGATCATATTATACCTTTTTTTTTTTAAAGATTATTTATTTATTTGACAGAAATCACAAGTAGGCAGAGAGGCAGACAGAGAGAGAGGAGGAAGCAGGCTCCCCGCCAAGCAGAGAGCCGGATGCAGGACTTGATTCCAGGACCCTGGGATCATGACCTGAGCCAAAGGCAGAGGCTCAACCCCCTGAGCCACCCAGGCGCCCCCATATTATACCTTCTATTGAGCAACCATTTCCAAAGGAAGTGATTAGAGGGATTACAGGGAAAGGAGAATCTATCAAAATATGGGTCTGAGGGGTAGACGAGAGAGGGGTATATGGTTATAAAAGGCTCATTCAAGTTTTGTAGTATTCAGTGTAGAAGATTTATGCATCTTTGTTAAAATTATCCCTGATGTTTTATGTTTGTTGATCTTGCTATTAACAGGATTCTTTAAATTTCATTTTCCACATGTTAGTTTCTATAAAAGAAACCATACAGAGAGAGATACATAGAGATATATATAGTTAAAAATGTTTTTTATATTTACCTTGTGTCTATGGTTTTGTTAAATTGAGTACTTAACTCTAATTTTTAAAATTCCATACATGGTTCTATGTACATCATCATGTTATCTTAAAATAAAAAATGTTTCATTCTTATATTCAAAATACATACATTTAATATCACTATTATTTTTAAGCACATGATATAGAAGATAAAGCATCAAAAAACTGTAGCTGCAAGAGCCATGCAGGACATGGGGGACAATTGTACTATAGGGGACATGGGTTGAAATAGTGAAAAAAAGGGACTCTCACATATCATGTATTATGATCATCAACTCACTACATGTTAAGTACCTGGAGACCAGTATCATTTCTTGCTGGTTTGTCTATATCTCTCCAAACCAATTAAGGTGTTCTATACATAGTAGAAACTCAAAAAATGTTTTTTAAATAGAATTCAAATACCCCAGTGTTGGGCACATTGCATGGGGTCAAGAAATACATGTCAACTCTAAGAACCAATGAGTACACACAGGATTGCTGAATGATCAGCATATGCTCAACCCTGATGAGAAACTATAGTAAGAGAGGTGAAGAAATAGATCATCATCCATACCGAAAAACTTCATTTCTCAGGTAATAATAAAACAAATGCACCAAGAAAAACATTTCAGTGGTTACCTGTGCATTTCTTTATATGACTGTTCCTCTTTCCGTGTGATCCTAACTTGCATCCAAAATTCTCCTCCCAAAATTCTGCAAACCACACATTTCTTCGATTATTGGCAAGAGTTCGGCTTCTAAAATAGCGATCAAACCCTATTTTAGAGAAGAAAGTTATGATTTTAATATTCTTTCAAAAGTAAAACCAAATACTGTCAAAGCTTTTGAATGGAAATTAAGTTATGTTGTGATCATTGCATGAGGGAAAAGAAAAAAAAAAAAAACACAAAAAACAAAAAGTATTAACAAATGGGAGGAACCAGTAGCCCAGAAATCAGTCTTCCCATATGGTAAAGGCCAAGGGTAATCCGTGGACAATATTATCACCCTTGCTGTTCACCATTTAGGCACCTGGCTCAACAGATAAACGGAAGAGGAGAGCCTGTTGTTGGTGTCATCCTAGCAACCTCCCCGCTCCTCTACATCACAGCCGCCAGCAACCTTCTGCTATATATTCAGAACCAACTCACACTTTTCTCATTCTTTTTTTTTTTTTAAGATTTTATTTATTGGTTGATTGATTTGACAGACAGAGATCACAAGTAGGCAGAGAGGCAGGCAGAGAGAGAGGAGGAAGCAGGCTCCCTGCCAAGTGAGCAGAGAGCCCAATGCGGGGCTCGATCCCAGGATCCTGGGATCAGGACCTGAGCTGAAGGCAGAGGCTTTAACCCACTGAGCCACCTAGGCGCCCCCACTTTTCTCATTCTTCTTCTGTCTCCTAGCGGAATCAATTCTCCAGGTTTCTATGCTTCTACTTCACTCAAAATGTATCTGTCCTATATGTTCCATTTTCAGCTAATCCAATAAACTAATCAGTGCTAATGTAATATTATGGGGTCAGGGGTAATGGGCCGAAGTGTCAGCCTGCTCAGGGGACCACCTCATTGAAGGGAGACCAGCTGGAACTAATGCCTTCTCCAGAAGATAATGGGGAAGGTAGGCATTTCAGTCACTGCTAAGACTGTTGGAAAGGCTATCTGCGAGACAGTCTTCCTTTCAGGGAGGCTCCGTATCTTTGCTGTTGCGTTCATGTACCCATAAGATCAGCCCAGCAGGTCTCCATTTTTTATAAAGCAGCCCTCTCCCCATGACGGTGCTGTACCCATCATCTGTGCCATAGAAATATGCAAGGTTAGGAGGCAACATCGTGGAAATAGCTAAAAACAACGCTAACTCCCTTTTTTAAAGAAAAAAATTCTAATGGGTACTCTTTTCTAATGAAAAGTATAAGCTGGGTTAAAGAGTTACTGTCTTGGTAATTCTACCATCAGAATTAAAAATTCTATCCAGAGTCATCAACAATGGGTGCATTTCATCCTATGGTGATACACTGGTTTTGCCTTTGAGCTTTGATTCAATTGGAATGAAACAAAGTTTCTATGGCTTGTCCTTACCATCAATTGATGCTCTTTTGGGCAAAATCGTCACAGCCCCTTCTGCAATGTCCTCTTGTTGATAAACAGGTGCTATTTTGGATCCCCAACTATCTGAGCCAATCCAGAGAAAATGACCACTTTGGTTTAATTTCTTTGCTGCTTCCAATATCCTCCTATGGGAATAAAAAGAAATAAACCATACCATATTTATCAAGAAACACTACACTTAGGAATGATACAAGACCAGTTATATCAAATTATATGCACTCAGTAAGTCACTGTTAAACTAACTAGTCAATCACTAACTGCTTGAATTTTATCATTTCTAAAGGAAACATACTGGAGACTTTAACTCCAGCACCTGTTAATCAGCCTCATCCTTAACCTCATTCACATCATTCTGGCTATCATCCTTACTTGTCTCATTTCTTTCAGTCCTCAGGTTTTACTCTATAGCCATTTCAGACTTAGAAACTAGAAGGCTGTTGTGTCTCTGCAGCAGAAGGGAGGTAGTCTGCAATTGCATGAGAATGTTGCAGTTCCTGTGAAATTTCATAAGATTATACATTGAATATGAAATATGTTTAAAAAAAAAAAGATGTATGTTGCAAATGTGACCCTACACCAGGAAGAAAATTAATCAGCACCTGATGTCATCTTCATTGGCAAACATAATCACTGCCCGAGCATTAGGTGTTTCTAGCAGGCGTTTGATAATTTTTTCAAATTCTCCAGGTCTTGGTTCACGTGGGATTTTCTGTGATTGAGCAATGCAAACACCACCTATTTAAAAAAAAAAGAGAGAGAGAATGACTGAGAAAAGGCACTTATTTAATTAACCAACTTAATGAGGTTAACTGCTTTATAAAAACATATGATTCAAAGTACATTGAATTTCAAAACGTGTCATTCTCATCTATTGAAAGTAATCATGTTCACATTACAATATATGTCAAATAAATGACATCAATCATTTAATCATACATCAGGGTTGTTGTTTTATTTTCCAAGTTTCAACACTAGTTTTGTGGATAACTATAATAAAAACCAAAGAATACAAAATGTGTAATGAGAGTCAAGGAGCACAAAAAAGAATGGCAATTTTGATGTACATGGAAAAACAAGTGCGTGGATTAATAAAATGAGTATGTCTTATAGGTGAGACCACTTATTAAGTAAAAAGACCCTTTTATTAGTAGACCTTCTTTAAAGTTAATTTCATTTGATAGCTCATAGTATTTATTACAGAAAAATTTTTATGTATCAGCAAAATGGTGTGTTATGAGACAAGTGGTATTTGAGACTGAGACATAGGCAAGTCCCAAAGATTTGAACCCTCAGCTGAATTTATGTCTCCATTGAGAAAATCAAAATGGCAGAAATCCCATCCCATTATCATACCAAAAAAAAAAAAAAAAGAAAAGAAAAGAAAGAAAGAAAGAAAAAGAAAAGAAAAGAAACAAAGGGAGAGAAAAGGAAGGAAGGAAGGAAAGAAGGAAGGAAGAGATAGAAAGAAAGAAACGAACTCTTTCTTTGGCTTCTCCTTCTAAGGCAATGAGAAACCAAAGAGAAAGTTTAGAAAAGATCTCTGCCACCTATCAAGGTTCCTCAATCTCAGTGGAATAGAAAGAGAACATATTCTAATATTAGAAGAAAAAGGAATATGAGCAATATGTTTCAGTTCCATTATGACTTAAATAGGGTTGTTGGGTTTTTTTTTGAGTCAAATGAAAATTACATCACCATTTATAACATTGCTTCAGTGAGCAAAGGCATTTTCCTTCCAAACAATTGCCAAATACATTCAGTCACCCAAATATTACTAGGATTCATCATATGTTATATATTGGGCTGGACACTGGGAATACACAATCTAATCCAGCAGTTACCGTCTAGTCTGGGAGACAGGCATCCCAATAAATTATCATAGAATATGTGGTAAATTTTAGAATAAAGAGGATATACCTGCACAATGGGAACACAAAGGAAGGAGTAACTCAGGTGCTTAAGAGAGCTGGATTTTAAAGAGCAAATATGCATCCATCTAGGGACAAAAGTGGGACATTTCTGGTAGAGGCCAAGGTATGAATCATGTTTGATTATGGCCTATGGTCAAGACCGGTTGGGGCTGAAGTTGAAAAGAATGGCCAGGCCCAGCTTGAGAAGGACTTTGTTAGACATGCCAAACAATTTGTACCTTATCTTAAAAACAATGGGAATACATTAAAAGTTCATATGCAGGAGAATTACATGATGAGTTTTATGCCTTGGGAAGAAACCTCAGATAGCCAAATAAAGAAGAAATGTCTGGTAGCCAAACAATGGGTGTCCAGTGTGTTGTGATCAGACTTGCCATGTGTGGCAATAATGTACAATAACAGTGTTAGAGTACTGAAGGTTATATCTTTCATAAGTTAGAGCATGGTCAAAGTTATTCCTACAATAAGCAATATTTTTACTAACCATTTTAGGGGGTGGGAATTGCCCAGAATCCACAGACAGATCCTGTAGATAGCAAGCCTACAGATATGCCACTAGTAGTTGTGATGATTGATTCATTCTTTCATTAAATATTTACTGCATGCTCACTATCTGCCAGTTATGGCATAGGGGCTGTGGATGCAATGGTGAATAAAACAGACACCGTCTCCACCTTCAGAGTTCAGAAACGTTGTAGGTGAAATAGGCTTAATATAGAACAAAATGACAAAAATAAGTATATAATTATAAATTATGGCAAGTCCCATGAGGAAGAGCACGGGCATTCAATTTACATTGAGGAGTGTTCAGGAAAAGTCTCCCTAAAGTGATGTTGGGGTCAGAAAGAAGAGAGAATGGGTGAAGGCAGCATGAGAAAGGGCAGGAAAGAGCAGGGCAGGAACAAGTCAGCAGAGCTAATGAGTGAGAGGGAGAGAAGTGTGAGACAAAGATGAGAGGTAGATGGGGGCCAGATCAAGCATGGCTTGTGCAGGTCCTGTGGAAGATTATGAATAATTAAAGTGCTTAACTGTCTCACTCAATGTTTCTATCTCCTCACTCTTTTAAGTAGCCCACAGAAAGACGTTTCATCTGTGAACACTGCATTTCACAGAAGAAAAATGGAGGCGGGTGCCTGTTGCACAGGACAACCTGGAGTGGAAAGGACAGAAGGCACTGAGGTCCATGAGGAGGTTATTGGAAGAGGCACTGGAAAATGATGCCTGAGACAATGTGACTAGGGCTGGTTCCAGTGACGGAACCACTGGAGCTGTTAGAATTTGAGTTAGAATCAGAGAAGCTTCATACTATTTTCTTCTGGCTTTATTGAGGTAGGAGTTACAAATAAAAATTCTATATATTTAGGCTGCACTGATTTCACCCAAGTAGTTAGGTAATGGGAAACCACTAAGCATGACACTAAGGTTTTGGCCTTTGTGACCAGGTTGTGTGATGTTACCGTTACACAAGTAAGCACCACAGGCGGGTGCACAGGCACGTAGAGGAGAAAAGAAGGATTTTTGATTCAGGACAAGTTGTTCTTGAAGAACCCATGCAACATCAAACTGAAGAAGCTGATCTGGAGCTAAAGAAAGAGACAGAAAATGTAATAACAGTTCTGTCAGGTGCTGATATAGTCAGTAGTTGAAGGGTTGGGAGTGAACAGATCACTCAGAGGGAAAAATCATACACACACACACACACACACACATATATATAAAAATATAAAATTAAATTAACATATAATTAAATATACATATATTTAAAATTTATTTCTTTGCGAGAGGAGAGGGAGAAGCAGACTCCGCACTGAGCAGAGAGCCCAACATGAGGCTCAGTCCCAGGACCCTGGAATCATGACGTAAGCTGAAGTCAGATGCTTAACTGACTGAGCCACCCAGGTGCCTCCACCAAAGAGAGGAAAAGGTAAATGACGGAGCTCCGTAAAACTACAAGCTTTGGAGAGGGGGCTAGCAAATGTGAACAGAAAGAAACGACACATATTTTGAAGAGAAAACTTTTCAGACAAAGACTAGTGGTAAGTTGAGAACTATATAATGTTTTTAAAAATCAAAACCAAACAAAAAACTGATGAGTAGAAGCATTAGGTAACTGTAGAAGTGTGAGAACAAAACTGTAACACTCTGGGGAACAATAGCTGTTTTAAAATATGACTGCCCTTTTAATTAAATTGCTGTGATTACTTAAGCATCCCATTAAAGACATGTCATATCCTAAGTATCATTCTGAGATTACTACTGACTCCATAGCTGGAAGAAATGAAGGCTGAAAAAATTTTATTATGATTATTTCAGATGAGACAAATAGGCAATCCAGACATAGTGTAGTCTGAATTCACTGATTTATGCATTCACTACAGATCTATCAAACTTCTTTGTTTGTAAAAAGCTGAGTTAGTTAGGTTGGATTTTTACATGCTCTAAATCCATTTCATATCTTCTATGCCTATGTCTCATACTTGTCAGCCTGGTCAATTTGTGTTTTCCTGGAAAGGGGGACTACACAATTAATTTATTTCAGCTGAACAAATATGGAGATCCTGTTCCTTATGGCATCTTACTGTTTGATGCCTTATGGATAGTTTGTTAAACTGTGGACTGTATTACTTCTCAAATGATTAGAACTAGAAGATTTAGCCCTGAAATTCATTCACACTTTGTATCTTCACATCCGTCAAAAAGTCCAACAGTTAATCCATTCCGAAGCACTCATGGTCTACTATGTTTCAGGAGTTACAGACATTCAAAGATTGCCTATCTTCAGCATCTTGTAATATAATTGAGTGCCAAGATGTGCACATAAGAATAGCCAGATGATAATGCAAAATAATCTAATGATGAAAGATGATTGCATAGGAAATATCAAAAAGCAGTAATAAATGTCATCACCCCACCTCCGAAATGGTCCTATGATTTCAAAAGAAGTCATTATATACTGTTAGGGTTTGGTAAAAACATCAGTGAAATTTAGTCAAACATTCATTTTTCATCAAAGATGTTTTCCTCCAATACTTATACCTACAATGCCTCTAGTACCTTTCCTACATTATCTAATGTTTTCCTTTTTAAATATCTCTGACTTGATTTAGACTCCTGGCATGAGCAGGAGGAAGAGGAGTTGCCCTCCATCACAGAATATGTCTATTGCATCTATTTTCCGCATCTCAACCTGAGTGTTGACTGTATGCAATTTAAGGGACACCAACTTTCCCGTTCTGTCGGCTTCCCAGTTCTGTAAGAAATAATTTCTAAAGCTTAGCACTTTCCTAAAGTGTAGGAAAAGAATGTTGCATGGAGGAATTTATAACTGGCTGTTTTCTGGAATTTGCTGTCTGATCTTGCTTGTGTAAATTTTTTTTCTTTTGATTATTTAATAATAATTGGAAGATCATTCACAGAACTGAACACTTTATGTACATTCCACAACACAGAAGACCATTCATTCTCAGTTTCATTCACTGATACCTCACTGGTCCTAATGACAGCAATATAAGACTGGTATTATCACATATATCTGATGAGGACACTGAGAAACAGGGATCTGGAGCCCAGGTTCAGAGCCATGTCTGTCTGACTCCAAGTCTAAACTTTTTCTATCATCTTGCTTATCCACAATCGACCATACCTGTGGCTTAATGGTTAAGTAGGTACAAATGATTGAGGAATAAAATAAAGCAAATTTACAGATTCATTAAAAACAAAACCCCGAATGTTTCCCCTTATAAATCAATTGACAGCTGTAAAAATACAATACTAGATACTTTGAATCTCTGCAGATTTCTTAGA